ATCTACTTGCGCTCTGGCTGACCTTGGAGTTTCTCTTTAAGAGTTTACATTATCACATTATGGTATGTGCACCTCACTTCCGGCTCATTCTGTTAATAGCTGGGTTCATAGTTGTAATATAATAACTGGCCCTGCATCAGGCTTCATGATTCAATAGTACTCTATAACTGTTTTATTAACTTTGTTTGGTATCAGTATTTTTGTCCACATATGGCACATTGACTCTTGCACGGGTTTACCTTTTGTTTTGTGTTCTTGTTTGTTTTTCCCTTCTGCCACTTCTGGGTTAGCATGCTAACTGCATTTCGTTCTGCCTTGCTAGCCGTTCGTACTTACCTGTACTTGTGCAATGACAATAAAGTTTAATCTAATCTAATGTGGAAAAGATTTAATATGTTACTCAGTAAGTCTAATTTTTCTATTTAAATGTAAATTAAAGTGGTTTGATAATAAGTTTTTTGTTTGGTGTTTAGTTTAATTCAACGTCCCCTGAAAACAGCATCCCACTGACAGGCCTTTGCTGCCCTCTGTTGTCAAACTGCAGCACATTGCAACCGAACATGAATATTTCAAATATAGGTATGCGCCACTTGGTACCAAGTTGTTGTGTAAGTGCATAAACTATAATATGAGTATATAATATAGTATGCAGCCTACTGGGTGTTTAGGTGAACTGATGGATGAACCTGACAGATAAATGGGTGAAAGTGATTTTTCCCAACAAGGAAGCATTTTCTTTTTTTTACCTCTCTCTCATATGTGCTGTTATCAATAAGTGTTTGGTAATAAAGTCTGTGTGAATAAAATAATGTCCTGCATGCCAGAGCAAATCAGCTTGTGGCAGGGGAAGCACGTTATAGGGACAATGTCTATAGAAGACCTTTTATTACCCAAGATTGTCCAGAGAAATGTATATTTGACTTTGTGCTGTGGAGAAGAACTGTGTGATTCTCATCTGATGTTGATTGAGGTTTAATCAAATCAGGATAGCTATTCTGTTCTTTTCTTGAATTAAAACTGTGGTAACACTCGTTCTAACATAAATGAATGGAAGTAAAATTTGTTTTGCATGTTGTCCTGTTACTGTAACTGAGCTTACTTTTGTTATTGTTGTTTTTAAAATAACACATTGTACCTACAGATAAGCGTTTGGACACTCAGCCTCTATACTCAGCAGAATGACTTGAACTGCATTTGAGGTTGTTAAACCCATAAGAAATCCAGACTCATTGCCCCTTCATTTTAGAACAGTGTGGCAGGACAATAACCAGATGAAAGTCACCACTTTAACCACAGTCATTGTTTTCATTTCAGTTCCTTACCAACGTGCCACTGTCCAAATACTTGTGGGCTGCACTATGCTCTTACTCAAATAGCTTACTGACACTGTTCAATGCTCTGTGGTGGAAAGTAACCAAGGACATTTACTCAAGTACTGTACAGTTCTGAGCTACTTGAGTATTTCCATTTTATTTTACTTGTGTATATATAGATACTTCAACTCCACCACATTTCAGAGAGTAATACTGTACTTTTTACTCCACTACTTTTCATCTATAATGTATTTATACTGTAATACTTACATTTCAGATTAAGGATTTACATACATATAAAATGCAACACATTGTTAAAGATACAATCAATACCTCTGAAACCTGTCTGGCTTGTGGCCCCTTACAACAACAACCAGTGTGTAGTTTGGACGTCTCATATTTCAGATGTCTGTGAGTTTTTAGCAGTTTCCCCAAAGACACATTTCTCCTCCAGACGTCTCACATGGTTTCATTTAAATAACAGTTTGAAGCCCAAAGGGTCATTTCACTAAAAAGCAAAGATCAGACAAATGAATACTAATCTGTGAAGCAGAACTTTGTTTTTTCTTCTTTCGTACAACATTAATCATCTCATGACCCTTCAGATTTTCCTGGTGACCCTGTGAAGGGGCCTGACTCCTAGGTTGAGAACCGCTGGACTAAACTACCTAACTGTATCTAAAGTAGACAAATGAGCTCCCTCTCTAGCAGCTACAACACTACGTATGCATTAACAATCTAATGATATAATTTATAGGTCTAATAATTAATCAGCCACAGGGCCCATTTTACTTTAGTTTTACTTTTCATACAGATAATTTACGTATTGTATTTTGCTGAGAATACTTCTGTACTGTTACATAAGTTTTATATGATATGATTTTGAATGCAGGACTTTTGCTAAAATAGAGTATTTACTCAGTTGTATTATTGCTAATTTTACTGGATCGCCTCCAGACATGTATTGCAAAATATACAAATAATATGAACAATAATGTGTGTCTGACATGTTTTTTCTGCAAAAATATATATTTTCCAGATTAAAATAAAAAAGGCATCTACTCATTTTACCTCAATAAAACTTACAGAATCTATGAATATGCAAATGTTGTTCATTTCTAAGGTTTTCCTGTTGGACTCAAGATGTCTCCTACTTCACTGTAAAGTCCATTCTCAGTGTTTGTGCACTGGTGGCTTTCAGTTTCTACATCACACTGTATAAGTTGCACACAGGACCAGGATTGATGTCACAAACCAAACTCATAGTCAGTGCCCCTTTAAATCAGATTTTCAGAGAGCACAACTTTCCACTTTCAGCAGATGAATGTGAAAACATCATCCTGGTGTCAAACTCTGTGCATACATCATTCTGCACAGTGAAGATCAAACATTGCACTGTAAGGACCTGATGGTACCACCACCACTGATGGGACACACGTGAATGCATGTAAGCAAACACCAGACAACTAATCTTTACTTTGTTTGTGCACTTGCAATTTTAAAATGTTCCACATAATCTACCATTTTGAATCTCTAAAACACTGTTTTGAAGTTCTCATGGAAGCAGTCTTCATACGGCTGCAGACAGCCGATTAACCCTTGCAACAAGACAAACGTACACTCTTCTCGAAGGTGTCTCTGTCCACAGACATATGTCTGTCTGTACCTTACAGTCAACCGATAACAGTCACGTGTCTGTGCCACGACGGCAGATAGTCCCGCCTCCTTTTGATAGACACGATTAAACCCCGCCCCCTGAATGTCTCATAACAACAGCTGGCAGCACACAGAGAGAGAGAGAGAGAAAGAAAGAGAGAGAGATAGCAAGCAAGCAGAGAGCAGGCAGAGAGCAAGCAGAGCAGGAACACTCATCTGCTGCCTGGCTGTACAGTATAGACATCACCGCTTTGACTGCTGCTTTCTGTAAGAAAATAAACACCAGCGACTTCTCCGACTTGTACACAGCTCAAGGCGCATGCTCAGACTAACTGACGGTGCAGTTGTTTTATTCAGGAACTCAGAGGTGAGTACAGTAACGCCAGTCGCAGCTAAACGCAGGGCAATCTGCCCCGATACTCTGTGGCTTTTGTTTGTTTGGGTTTTTTTGCATCAAAGCCAGCTAACGCGTTAGCTTCCCCCGGTTCACCTTCCGCTGTCTCCGGTAGAAAGGAGCTTTACACAGGCTGTTAGCTAGCTCTTACGGTGGAGCAGATAACAGGACGTCGTTGGGTTGGAACAAGGGATTTATTTGCTGCTCGCTGGTGAAGATACTTTTACACTAGCTTAAGCTAATCTCTCACCGGTTGGGTTCGCCGAATAGCCCTTTATATTTGCCCCCCCCCCCCAAAAAAAAAAAAAGAGTGACAGCTATGATTACGTGTGGTTATTGTTGTTGAGATAGACGTCGACTCACTCCCTCAAGACTGAGCCGAGGTAACAGAGCCTGTTACAACTTGTGTTTGGCCTTTTCAGTTTCATTTGTTGTTCGCATTTCCTGGCTGCGGGTCTTTCCGATCCAGAGCCCCCCCCTGAGACCCCAGTGGACCAGGTTCACTCTGTGGACCAGGTTCACTCTGTGGGCCGAGGTGTCAAGGTTACTCTCCTGTGTGCTGTAAAGTTATCATTGATGTCAGTGTTTCAGTGTTTGTGGCCCTGTTCACAGCTCTCCTCTGCCTCAGCCAGTTTCACTTTTTTTGTTGTTTGTTCTGGAGAAAGCTGACCTCTTCTGCCTTTCCGTCCTGTCCAGCCTCTCCAGTGACAGTGGGAGAGTGATAGTGTCAGCTTACATCTCTGACCATTATAAGGTCAAGACTAGGCTTAAAGTCCACTTACAGTCCACTGAGGCTGAATACACGGTGTTGTTTTTCTTCTTTGGCCTTTGTCTAAGCTTGTTTGTTTGTGGCCTAATGCATTCACCAAACAAGCATTTGATCATGTGTTAGTTCGGTAAATATAGCCTACCCCATGCTAAATCTTCCATTAGTCTTAGATTCAGTTTTGCTATTGGCTTTTTTCTTTGACTTTGCCTCAAAAGAACACCGTGACCCCACTGGTGTGACCTCTTAGATAGTACATATATAGATATATGAGCCCCTCCATATGTGTTGCTTTCTTCCTCCCCAGACACTGAAAGGTTTTAAAGATGACAACTTCATGGAGTGACAGACTGCAGAACTATGCGGACTTGCCTGCCAACATGGACGGCCTGACAATGAAAAAATACAGAAGAGAGCCATACCACAGGTAAGACACACGTGTGGAGGCACTGGGTGCATTTCTTATTTAGTCTGAAACTACATGCAGATGGGATACCTGAGCATTGTCTGACACCAATTAAGCAACCAGAGTAAATAATTTACCCCTCTGTTGGTGTGCAACAATAACACAAACACCCAGAGTTTCACTTTACAGTCAGTTCACACAGGCAGGTCATACTTCAAGAACATTACAACAATTTCTAAATCAATACAATTGGCAGATGTGGATGAACGACATCAACAGCAGTAGTTTAGTCTTTTTTTCATGCTGCTAGATTATGTTTGGAGCAATATACATAGACCTTAAATCCATAGTTGTGTTTCCTTCCACTGAGCAAAGTTAACTTTTGGATCTGTATGGTTTGCTCGGATGGAGTCAGGTCCACCGCTCTGCCTGGATTCCCCAGTCACTGATCTAACTCTGATCACTGAGCAGTTCGAGAAATGGGAAGTTCCTTATGTAGAACTGATATAATAATTGTTCAATCAGTAGGTCAAACTCAGTGTGACCATATTTAAACTGTAACCATCACTGCTTTCTTAGAATATTTAATCCATACTGGAGTCAGATGTGCTATGGATGTCCAAACAGAGACGTTCATGGTTCATTTCACTGAGACAGAGCGAATCATCAAAGAAATTCAGAAACGTAGCTGTAAAACTGCCATTAAGACCAGAGTGAATCCAGCTGAACTTTTTACGTCCTTTACATTGTGTCACTTCTTTATGGTCATTATAACAGAGTGAAATGTCACTGACCAACTTCTTCTGGCATTTACTCGTTGGTGACCCAGCATATACAACGTTTCTCTTCTTGGATTGCTCTAAAGGAAAGGCTCTTGATATGATTAATTATTAAAGGTTTCTATTTACAGTTATGTTTATCCATTTATTTCCTGGTTTTATATCTCATTAAGTGGAGCAGAACCCTTACTAGGTCATGTCACTCAGGTTTGTCAACTTGAAATAAAGCAGGTTTTGCTGGCGTAGATTTCACATACGTGTTTTGGGTGTAGTTTTACTGTTGTTGTGCAAAAGTCCTCTCTGCCTCATCTGCCTGTCACCAGACCGCTGAGCTTCTACGAGTGACATACCGTTGTCTCTGAACCTGTTGACTGGAAACGCCCTGCAGTCATACCGGCTGAAAGGCTGATTTAATGAGGAATTTATCCCTTGTCGGAGTAATAAAACGTGTGTTGCTGTTTAATGTTTAACTCAGCCTAAGACCTGCGTGTGCACTGGGCTCTGCTGTTCCTTCACACCATTATAGAATATGCAATACTCACAGGGTTCATTAAACTGTCACTCGTCTATTGGCTGTGTGTGTGCTTCTTTAGGCGCATACAGGCAACCAATCACACATGCAAAGATATGACAGATAATAGAGATAAAAAATGGCCTGGAGCTCGCTATGACAATACACTTGTAGTATGTAAATCTGTTTAGTTAAAATCACCAAGACTGCTTGATCAGTTCAATCATTATTGTTTTTAATTCAAGAGGCCATGGAAGGTGACCTTTTGTTTATCTCACAGACAGGCAAAGACCATTCCTTCAGAGTAAGAGCTCAGCTGAAACAATGCAGCCTGATGGTGATCCGTGTGTCACATACCAGAGGGCTGACGACTCTGCCCGGCACAGATAAACTCTCTATCACAGAGAGCCGAATCACTGTCTTTGTGAGATTAGAAAGCAATGGAAAAAATCTGACAGATTGTCGCACAGCTGCACTCAGATGGAGTTAAAGTTGTTAAGGGATTGTGTTGTAGGTGTGGTGTGGCCCATGTGGGCTGTTTGAGGCAGTAGTGTAGTCAGCAGGACCAAAGTCGAGGCCAACTCTGGTAATCAAGTCACCTACGCCCACTCGACCCCCACCCATTGTCAATATGTGCTTAGCAGATTTAAGTTATCCTTCATGGCTGTCTTTTGATACATGTATGTTCCCTCAATGCAGAGAAATCCTGACAGTAAATGAGGTCATTGTTTCTAATGAGGAGTACCCTTTGCTTAAGACGTGTATATTCTAGGAAGCAAATACATAAACATATTAGTTTTAGAAGAATCTGAATACCTACATAAATAATCAGTGTTAAATACATAATGTTGAAATTTAAATACCACTGATAGAATCAAAATATCTCAATATTCGCAATAAGTTTTTTTTTATTTTTTATTAATTTAATTCATTAATTGAATTAATATGAATTCAGACAGAAAACTCAAGTGCTTGCAGTTTAAAGTCGCTCATCTAAACCTGTTTTTCTTGGAGCATAACACACAACATTGTTTCTGGCTCAGGCTTGATTACCTATCAAGAAATAATGTAATCAATTTGTGTTTTTGGCTTGACTTGAAATTGAGATTCAAAAATGACCAATTGAATTTGAGGAACCTAAACATCTTTTGTTGAATACAGGACAGTTAAGTTTGAACTGAAGTTATCTGAATTTGTGGTGAAAAAAAGAATTCTTGTTGATAAAATTCAGATCAGATATTCAGTCTCCTGTTTTGTTTCCATAAAATGCATCCATGTAGGATAAAAAATAAAATTAGAAACATCTGCTCCTGTGAGATTCTCCTAAAAAAAAGAAGTCAGCTCATTCTGTAAGTGTTTACATTAAACCAGATCTCCGTATGGTAAGCAGCTGTCGCTCGGGGCCGGGGCTCGCTTGATTCTACCTGACTTGTGATTGTTCTGGATGTCTTTGAGGGCCCACAAACATCATGCTACACAACAACAACCCTGACTGACAGCACACAACAACAACAGAGAATGACGCGGAATAGCCACAATCATTTTTGCAACAAGTCAGAAAATTTCTGAATGACAAGAAAGCAAAGAGAGAGAGGAGGGAGGGGGGGGGCATTGTTTGTGGACCAGAGCTGCCCTGTGTTGATGGAGCAGTTCAGTCCAACGGAGAGTCAAACTGAGTTACAATTTCGCACAGAATGCATCGCCAGTCGTCTGCTGGACTAAGATCTAAATGGGAACTCGTTCACTATGGATCTGCTGCCAGGTATTTCACAACCGGTTTAGACATTGGTGAGGGTGAGAGGGTCATTGTCGCAGATTAATGTCAAGATAGGTTGCCACGCAGAGTGAGTTCTGAGCTTGTGTATCGGATTAGTGTGCTGTTAAAAAGTGATGTAACCTTGTTTTTATTGTGTGATATTTTAGATTTTTCCTTTAGTTTATTTCTAGCATGACTAAATATTGACTTGTGTGTAAATATATCTAGGAGTACAGCTAGACATTGAGTTCAGTCACAGATGTGGAAGATAAGATATGTAGGCCTGTGCCAGCAGTCAGAGTTACGCCAGCAGTGTGTGTGGCTGTCTTTTCTGTGAAAGCTGTGTCAGCCAGGCTATGTAAACACTATCATTGTGGTCACCGTGGACCCCCAGTCTACGCACTGATTTATGAGTCAGCACAGTGGACCTGCTTCCTGGAAGATTTTCATGCTCAGAGCTAAGTGTGTAAGGGTTTATGATCCCCAGGTTTGGAGGGTTGCTTACTTCCTGTGTGGCAAGTTCTTGTTCCTTAAGTCTATTCCAGTGATGCACAGTTGTGTAACAATATGGTTTCATTTAGTTAGAGTTTGTCATTTCTAACACAAAAGCAAAATAATATATAGTCTTTCAAATTAAGGCCATAAATTGTTAAGTACACAGTTGTGACTTATGTTCCAGTATTTTCAGATATTGTCACCACTGGCAAACCTTGCCTCAGTATCATTTTGCCTTTCCTGGACTAGGTTTGTAAGTCACTGAGAAGTACCAAATTGTGACCCATCTTTTTGAATGCAAGCAAGCAGAAAAACATCTCAAATATATTTCACTGGGTAAACAAGCACTCTGCAACTTCCAGCCATTAATAGTATAAACAGTCTTCATGGCAGAATATTTTGGTGTTGCTCGCGTAAAAATGTGCTGGGCATTTTACGTGCATTCAGTTCTAATTTTGACATGATAGCTAACCATAGCAAGGTATTTGTTAGCACATGCCAGTGTTTGTGGTTGTTCTCTGGGTAGCTTTCCTCAAATACTCATAAGCTGCCTCTTACCTCATGAAGTTGTTCCTTTGTTTAACAAAGTTTACTGCATCTTTCTTAAATGGGTGGTGTTAATTGTATAATTATTACATTGTAAAACTGCCACCCTTTGCTGCAAGAAAAAAGAATATTATATCATATTTTTATCATGTAATAGTTTTAATTGTTTTGAAAATAGGTGAAATTTGATATAATTATTTCCAAATAATGAAATAATGTATGCTTGACATGGCACCTTGCAGGGTTCATACAGGCTCAGCTTGTGACACAGTGTAGAACCAAACATTGAATGCCACTTGTTAACAGAAAAGTGACTTGAATACATTTTTGATAAAAACACTTAATCATTACCCAAAGTTGTGAATCCAATACAGTATCTTGAGGGCTATTGTCATATGTCACAATGTCCACAATGTGTCCACACACTGTCAAAAATATATACCAACATTGGATCATGCAGGATATTGCTTAATCCCGCTAATACTGTGTGTGTGTGTGTGCCTGTGTGTGTCTGTGTGTCTCTGCGCGCGTGTGTGTGTGTGTGTGTGTGTGTCTGCGTGTATGCATGTGTAATTGACTTAAGGAGTTGTTGAGTATTTTGGTAAATTGTTTCTGGATACTGAATAGACTCTCTGTCATCACAGTCTGGGTTATAGTAGGTCTATTCAGTGAGTGAAACAGCTCAAACAAATATTTTCTCCACAGAATAGTGTCTTCTTCAGAATGAACGCTGATCTTATTGTTGAATATTGTATTGTAACTAAAACATTTGTTGTTTGTTCTCTAGAGTGTTTGTCAACAGAAGCTTGGCAATGGAGAAGATTAAGTGCTTTGGCTTTGATATGGATTACACTTTAGCAGGTAAGTTAACACACGTGCACCTAACTGATCACCTCTAAGTGATCTAAATCTAATAATTTAATTTTTCATTTTATAATATTTAGGATTCTTTGTTGTTCACAGTCTCTTAAATGTGAGGTATTAAATGCTTTGATCACTTTCCCTTTGCTAATTGAATGTCTTTGGGTTTCTCAATTTTACACTTTGGGCTCTGGGAAACATTTCAACAGACATTTGACATTATTTCTAACATTAATTAGCCTAAACCAATATTTCTTAAAGTGAAATGACAATTGATACATTGATTTGTAATTGAAACAATCATTAGCATTACTGTTGGTACTTTTATAGGTTTGATATACAGTCCAAGTTGGCTAGAGGGTTGCATAACAAGGCGTCATATTACGTAGATTGTCCTTTATGTTGTCATATTAATAATATATGAAGTCCAGAGGTACAGTAAATATATCAGTTTAAGTCGGATAAAAAGGATACATTGATCAAAAAGAGAAAAAAAAACATTTAGTTAATGCCAGTGCAGGGTTTTAGTGAGTATTTTCTGATTTGTCACCCCTTCCTCGAATCTGAAAACAAATCCCTAGTTGTGGAATCTCATTTGGCTGTGTCTCTTTTTGTGTAGATGTTAAACTCTACAGTATCCCTTTTTTCCCCTCTATATTTGGCTAGCCTACGGAGTACTGCAGCTTGTTGTCCACATAATACTATTAAGGTCAATGCCGGTGACACATTGAGCACACTATAAAACTTGGATAACGAAATGCTAAAAGCATAGCTCCCTACAAAGTCGATTGTATGTTCTTTTTCCTACTGACCAGTAACTAGGCCAAAAATATCCAGATTTTTCAAGCCACTTTGTTCTGTGACTCAGCTCCAGTTTTTGGTCTCTCAGTCTCTATAAATAAACCCTCCCTGACTTTGAAAAGCAGGTCACGTTTGTTTGTTGAGTTCACCAGTGATGGCTCCCTTGAGAACGGGGATCACTCGTAGTCCCTGTCTGGCTCTGTACCCCTATCCCCGTTCAGAGGGCAGGAGATTTTACAGACGCTCAGCTGTTGACATGACTCTCTTTATGGGAGCCCATAACCAAGTGTTAATGTTTGTTAGAAGCGTGGCTATCATGTATCTTTGGAGGGTGTTCAGGTTTGGACCACAGACGTGCTGGTGGTGTCACAGCGCGACGGCTGCTTAACCACAGCACCCTGGCCGACTGCAGTATTTGTTTTTAGGGGGTGTTAAAGGCAGTTCAAATGTGCCAAGTACTTGAAGTATGTACTTTTTACTTTTCTGGTTGAAAGTGCCATTATGGGTACGGAAATGTGCCAAAAACCAATTTGATGATTTAGTATGTCTTAAAAAGTTGTGTGAGGATGGAATGATAAAAATCTACTGTGGTTTCTGACTGACTGGCTTTAGTCCATTTAAGTCATGTATCACCTAAAACATAGTTCCTGTCAACACTTTAATAACCGCTGTCAATCAATTCTCATGGTAACCTAGCCTGTATTAAACTGGACGATCAATACTAATGCTCTACACTCTGCCAGTGCGCATACCTAGTAACAGCTCAACTAACTGATGTTTAAACCGGACATACCCAATCAATAATAATAATTATATTATCATATGCACTGTAAGACGATACATATGCCAACCATCAGGGATTCTTCCATATACTGCGGTACCTACTCTATTCTATTAAAGCTCCTTCAGTAATTCAGTCAGTTTTACACCACCACCATGCAGTTTTTGTCATTTTGCACACCATGAAGGTATTACACAAAAAACCAAACAAAAAACGTGGCCCTAATCTTATTAAACATTATAATTTTGAGCAATAGATTTATTATTTGCCACCTTATCGAGTCCAAGAGGTGAAGCTGGATATCTGAAGGTAGATAGAACATGGTCCAAGATCCTGTAAGTGTACTCCTGTTGTTTCATGGTGCTGTGATACACTTCTAATAAGATTATTGATCTTAATCACCCAAACATATGAAGATCAGAGGTTACACTTCCCCTAATACTGAAACATTCGCAAGTGGCACAGTGCGTGCGTACACCTCACATGTTTTGTAATATCCTGTAAGGCTTTGTAAACTAAATCAACATGGTATGAGACAACATTGCCTCATCTGTTCTTTGTGTTCCCTTTCGGAGCACATAGACGCCTGCAGAAACTGTTGCTCAAACACACATTTAGGCCCAGAATGCATTGAGAGATACAGTTTTGTCCTAGTTTTCCAACAGACTTTTGGCTGGAATGTAGGCCCCTGAGGCTAAACTTAAGTTTTCTAATTTTTCCACAGTGTGTGTCATAAATCTGTGACAGAGGCCTACATTTGCTTATGAGTGGCTACAGATAAATTAAGACCGTTAAGATTTCTAATATTGCTATGTGACATGGTTCAGATTGAAACGTCTCTGTGTGGGACACTTCGTATGACTAGGATTTAGTGGTCTATTAGTAGAAGGGTGCAGGCTGTTTACCTTGTGTTTGAGGGGTGTGCATTACACGTAGGCCTGAGGTGAGCTGGCCTATAAACGCTGGAGAGACACCACACACCTCAGCAATTGGAGCAGCAGGAGTATAAGTAACTGGCAACAATCTCATCAGAGATACAGTCCGCTTCTCGCCTCAGCTCTAAGTAGACCGTCATATGTTTGTGTATGCGCGCGTGTTTGTGCACATGTGCATACTGACAGCGTGAGAAATGCGAGAAGGGGCTTGCAGCAGGGGAGCAACGACCCCTGTAAAGCAGAAATGCAAGAGTCAAGGACACTGTAAGCAACAATAACACAACATCCGGTCTGCACGCAAACACTGTAAACACGAGTTTTCAATCAAATCTGATGATAAGATTTTCTCTGATGCCCGTTTAGTAAATATACAACTTTCCATGACTGTAGCTTCCATTGTGGATTTTATGGAAAAACAAATCTACAAATCACTCCACAGACTACTGCTCAAGCCTTCAAACATGTGAAATAGTGGGGGATGTCTAGAAGGACTTTTGAAAAGCATACAATGTAGGCCATAGGTGTCATGTGTCTGTGTGGAGATTTTTAAGGGGGGGGGGGGTTGTTATGCAGAAGTAAAATGGTTTTAGTTCAAAACAACAACTAAAGACTAAAACTAAAGTCATTTGTGATCATGGTCAGTGTTGGATTTGGAGGAGGCCTGTCAACGTTTAGAACAGTTTGGTTTCGTCACTTGAGATTTTCTGGATGTGTTTTTGTCTGGGCTTTTCTCACTGGTCTGAAGTGGGCGGGGCCTAGATGGAAAAAGATGATGTCACATATTTGTGTGCACCAATCGGCTTTAGCAACACTTTTGGGTGGTTGTTTACATGTGTTGATCAAATGTGTTGATCAAAAGTGTTTTTTGTTTTTTTTTTCCCTCAAACTTTACCTTTCATTTTTCCTTATGAGTCATTTTTATCTACAGACGCTGCAGTTCTTCTTCTGTGGAGGCCAGCATGTTGAACCGCCATGTTTTTTTACTGTAGCCTAGAACGGACAAACCAGAAACTGGCTCTAGATAGGGCTGTTTGCGCTCTTCATTCACTCCGTGGCCAAAATGGCTGCTGTGAAGCTGTAGCCTTGTTTAATTAGTATGTAATTTAACAAAACAAATTCCTGATCCTAAATGACTAGCCTACTCACTTTATATAAGCTACACTGGGATGTGAATTTATTCATCCTCAGTTGTGTGAGTGCTACACGCCAGTCTCCCAAGATCAACACAGTTAGAAGAAAGAAGAGCGAGTGATGATAGCAAAGGTGACAGAGGGTGACAAGTGAGCAAGGCGGAGGTTTAGATGGTGTATGGTACTGCTTTGGGCAGAGGGCCCAAACCCTCAGTTTGCTGGGAGACCACAGTGGGGGGTCAGAGAGGGGCGGGGGGGGTAGTTGAACTGCAAGAGGTTACGTGATTATAATGCAGAAACAGGCTCAGGCTTACAGAGTAGGGGTGTCAACAAAAGGACAAAGCTTTACTGAACCCAAGATTTCCCTGTAACTCAGTGCATGTTCATTATGCTTCTGTGTGAAACCCAGAATTAGACACACTCATTTTGTAGAGTAGGACACAGATGTTTTCCTGTTTGTCCCGCAGTGCTGTTCCCCCACTAACTGTCCTCTATCCAAGCATCATCAGCCAATATGTCTTCCCCTCCAGGGGCCCCGCACCACCCCACTGGAAGTGTAGAAAGCAGGCAACAACACAAGCGCATTCTCCCTTTCGTATTTATAACATCTGACATATTCTTTTCCCGGTGTCAGATAGCATTGTAATCCTCTGCCAGCCTTTTCTTAGCCTAGCATCAACCTGCGTTTCGGGTTTGGCTGTGGGTTAAATGTCTGCGTTTGGCATTGACAGGGTGGGGGGTGTTCGGGGGTTGGCTCAGCAAGGCTCATTAGAGCTGCTGCTGAAAGTTGAGCAATTTTTCATTCTCACGCCTGATCCTGTTTCTTTGTGGATTTGCATGCAGAACATCGAGGCCCTTGTTGATAGCAAGGAGTGAGAAGGGCAATGTGTGTGTGTGTGTGTG